CCTTTCTGGCTTCCCCTCCGTCAGCCTCCGGTGTGGCAGCGCGAGGTCAGAGAACGCGGCACCACTTGCTCTGCCACGCTGGGCTGTTCTCCAAGGACAAAACCCACATGGAAACACCCCCTGGACTCCATTCCCAGGACTGCCTTTCCTTTAACAGGCTTTTCCCTCCCCATCCTTTGGTTTGGGCTGTGGATCTAACTCCTTGCTGCACAGTCCCACGGCGCTGGGTGCCAGGGCCTGGCTCCGTCCCACGATGGCACGGTGGTGTACCGAGGCTGCCCCGCGCCCCGCAGCCTCCTCCACAGCCAGCCCGAGCGCCACCCCGCTCCTCCCACCCACGGGCAGCGGCCCAGGCTTCCCCTGTGCCGAGCAGCGGAGGGGGAAGGGAGCCCAGCAGCGCGCTGACCTGTTTCACAGCCCCTCCGTGCCCGAAACACGGTCTGCCTCCCTCCCCCAGCTTCAACACCGACTTCCACGGACTCATCCTGATGCGCACCAGGAGTGCTAACCGGGTAACGGGTATCTCTCCTTGTCCAGCAACACCCACAGGACTGGTGAGAGCGTCTGGATTCGGACACGCGGCTCCACAGACGAGGTCTGGGCTCCTGCGCCCTGCCAGGACCCCTTGCCCCCTCCTGCTGCCCTGGCTTTCAGGCCCTCTGTGCCCAGCACCCTCACCTGGGGTCACAGATGCAGAGCTGCTCAGTGCTGCTGGAGATGCAGCAGCTCCAAGAACCCAAGCAAATTTGTCAGACCTCCTACACCTCACCCTGGCTGCAGACCGAAGCCTCCCGGTCAGTGGAGTACCACCCAGTACAGAAACTGGGGTCTTACTGCAGGAGCAAGTTTGCTGATGACACCAAACTGGGAGGTGTGGTAGACACACCGGAAGGCTGTGCTGCCATTCAGCGTGACCTGGATAGGCTGGAAAGCTGGGCAGACAGGAACCTGATGAGGTTCAACAAAGCCAAATGCAGGGTCCTGCACCTGGGGAGGAACAACCCCAGGCA